TCTCTCACCACCTTGGATTTCTTTGGTGCTTCCACTCCAGTGGAGACCTGACCACACCCCCCTCCAGTTCCAGTGCACAGCCAGCTGCATTCCCAGCAGGTTTTGTTCTGAGTGTTAACAGGCAAAGTCCAGGAACTCAGATATTTGTGCTGTTCCTGTCACCACCAATCCAACCACCTCTGCCCACCTCAGCAGCTTGGTGTGGGACTGAAGGCACACACTGTTTTGGGAGGGAAGTTTTCAGGTCAGCTTTGGGGGGTAGGTGTGGAAGAGTGGGATGTTGCAGTCTCCTGCAAACCTGGAGTGTGGCAGCATTTGTTTTCCTGGGGGAAGACACTTGGAAGGGCATAGTAAAATGTCTCCAGAGGTAGATATATATTATGCAGAAAGTTCTGTTATATGTTTCAAAGGGAGAGAGCTGTGAGGATTATTATCCAATGGACATAAATCAGCATAGCTCTGTGATATTTGAGTTTTTTTTCCATTGTGAGCAACTCACTCATGAGTTGTAGGCATGAAACTTATGACACTTATGCAGCTTTTTGTAGCCTGCCAGTGAGAAAAGGACAGTTTGCTATGGAGTGTGTATTTCATTAGAACTGTGGGCAAAGAAGTGTCTTTGATTTGGATGGAGTAAATAGATGCAAATGCTGTGGAAGTTCAGCAACACAGCCACTCAGTCCTGTTCTGCCACAAGCCCCAACATCTCTCGCTAGATTTTTACAAAGGAGATGAAAAGCAAAGATTTATCATCATGCCAAACAGCTCTCTGTCATCAGTGGGACTGGAAAAAAAAAAGGCTTAGGAAGCAGAAATATTTAGGGGAGCACCTACGATACACATCCAGCTCTGAATAAAAAGAAACAGCAACAAAACATACACATTAGGTGCCGTCAGGTAACTCGCCGTGCGTGGGGGATAAGAGCAGAGAGAGAGAGGTAGGTTCTTAGGGAATGCCTCCTGCCACCAAGCCAGCCTCCCCCTCCTCCTCCCCATCCCTCAGCCTTTCTGGAATACCTTTCTTCCAGCCTCATTGTTGTGCAAGTTCATCAGCCTCCGTGCATTCTTTTTGATTTCTCGGGCATCAACAAACCTCCGGGAGAACTCAATGCCGTATCTGATATCCGCAGAGCAGCCTCCCCACTTCCAGCCCTCCTCCTGGTTGTAGTAGCCCTGTTTCTCTCGGTCACAGCCACAATTGCTGAGGTTGCCCTGGCTGCAGGCGGCCGTGACGGCATGTGCAACCCCGGCAGCAGTAATGGCATAGGTGAAGGCAGCCTCCCTGCTTCCTGTGGAGAGAAGCCAAAAGCTGAGGGGTTGGCAGAAAAGCAGCACTTAACTAAAGAAAAGCACACACATGATCTACAGCAATGGGGTCAGGCAGCACCACGAGGTGTGTGTTTCTGGTCCTTACAGAAGCCCAGTTGTATGTCAGAGGTTTGACTCGACTGGGGTGTAGTACCCCGGGGAAGAACCAGCCGTGGCAGTCCCACTGAACCCCTCCACCAGAGGGGAATTTGGGCAGTGGGGCTGCAAATTGAACCTTCTCTGTTTCAGGTGAATAATAAACACATCACCAGTGGCAGTGCTCACTGGAAAACTATAGTTACTTCTAACCATTGGCACTGCATGGAAAAAGTGTTCAGAGAATGTAAAAAAATACCAGAGCCTTTCAGATGTGCCAGAGGGCTAAAGCACAAGTGGGGGAGATTGCAAATGCACCCTCATAGGTACTCCAGCAGCATCCATTTGTGGTGCTAAGTATTGCAGGAAAGACCTCTAGAGACAAGAGCTGGGTGAGTTTTGCTTTCTTTCAAGGTAAATGAGAGGCTTCCCCTTCCCCTTGCTGACTTCTCTTGCATAGGAGCTCTGCTGTGACAACCCTTTTCCACTCCACTCTGACTCAGACCTCTGCATTACCTTGTACTGAGCACACAAGGGTTATGGAAGTGCTGTGGCAGCAACATTTTCTCTCCAAAACGAGTGAGACACTGTCATGGAAACACAGACATCTTTAGAAAAAAAAAAGTTCTTTTTGTTTTTCTTCACTAGCTCCCAAGGTTCCTCCTTCCCAAATCCATGTTATAGCTGTAGAGTATATGAAGAGAGGCTAATAAATCCCTTTTCTTTACTAGATGCTGTTTGGCTGAGCTGCCTGTGGGATGCACACAAGAAAATACAGAGACAGGCTGATTGAAAGGGATTCTACAGCATTCTGTCACTGACTTATTGTAGGGCTGGTTCATGGTCCTTGATGTTTTGCTGTTCCTATTTGTATCCCAGTGCTATCCTCCTTCTCTTCTGTGTGTTTTTCTGGTGATAAACAGTGTTGTAATACTGCAACCAAAGAATAGCTGTAAAGAACTTGCAGAAAGTTGCTGAAATGCTTTAATGACCACACACAGAGCTCTAAAACTGTTAGTGGATTTGGGAAGGGAAAAAGAAAAAAAAAAAAGTTTTCCAGAGGAGAAAAAAAAAACCCTTAGAAGCTATTTTTAATTTTTTTTTATTTTAGGATTGGATCCATAGAGATCATAACTATTCTGGAATAACCAGTGCACAGTGTGGGGGGGCTGTGATATTTCTTATTTTCACAGATAGCTTCCTGCAGGGTTAAACTTCAGCTGGATATGGGAAAGATCCTACAAGAAACAAGCATAAACTGTTTTTTTGGCACCATTTACTTGTTTCTTCAAGGCAATAAAACAAGAAACTTAAGGTAAGAGAAAAATAAAAGGGTTCTGTGTTGTTCAGATACCACGGAGGTTAATCTGACCTGTGTATTATTTGAGTCCATGGTGCAAGAGAAGGACTGGCTTTGCTTTCAACCACAGATGTGTTTTGTTGAGGTGTACTATGTGTGTAGTCTGGTTCAGTGGTTCCCAAAACTATGGTCCACAGAACACTGGTGGTCCAGGAGGCCGTGGTAAAGGGTTCACAGCTAACCCGTAGAGCCAGATTAAAAACTGTTTTTAATAGTGTTTTCAATTAAATGTTTGATGATAACGATGCCTGGTGGTCTGCAAGAAATTCTGAGGGTGGCTAGCCATCCAAAAAGGTTTGGGAACCTCTCTTCTTGTTCCTAGGCATGTCAGTAACTACTCCTCTCTTCTTCACCCACCAGCTGAAGTCAAAGCCAAGACCCGTGATTAAAATGTATCCTGTTGACTTGCAGGATTCCTTTCTTCCTCTCCTTTCAAAAACCATCTATTCTGATCCTATAAATTGAGAGATTAGAAGAGATATAATAGAAACTACCTATACGTATATATATATATACATATGTATATATATATATATACACATTTTCCTTTCCCTTCAGGATGAGAGTAAATGTGAGTACAAAATCAGACCCAGGAAATATTTTAGTTCAGACACCTTTGAAACACCTGTAGACATGCTTATAAACAAGAAGAAACATTCTTGTCAGAGAAACAAAGCAGTTGTGAGCTGTTCAGTGAGAGGTGGCTTCAATCTGATGTGTGCAGAGTGGAAGGGAAGCCATTGTACCACGGCCACTAAGTCTAGGATGGGTCCATGAGTGTTCACATGGTGCTTTCCTTGGTCAGTTTTGTCAAACTGAAGAACACCCTGACTTGATTTGCCTTTCCCTCCCTCCCCTTCATTCTGATTATACCCCTGATGACCTTCAGGAAGAGAGGAAAATCTCTTCCCTTCACCCTCTTGAGAGCTATAGCAATGATGGAATTGTCTCATGTGTTGGGGTAATACCAATTGGAGACCATCCTGAAGCTCTGAAGAGATTACTCTTCTATTTCAATGCAGCTCTAATATATAAAGAGCTCAGAAGTCAGACCTGGCTTGAAAATCAGATTCTTTTAGCAATTTTAAGTTGTCCTGCTAAGAATCAAAAGGGTTGGGATTTATGATTTTTTTTTTTAGTTAGAGGATGTTCCAAAACTTCCCTTGAACTTCAGTGTAAGCATTACCTCAGCAGTTCTCTAAAGTCCTAGGATCAGCAGAGTCTATCAGAAAATGCTGATGGGGGAGGGAGGGGAACCTCTGTTCTCAAATAATGTGTCTGCTGTACACAAAGCTTTCCATTAGCATGTCATCCCTTGGAATCAGTTCTAAGCAAGCCTTTGTCAGACAGCTAAAAGTATTAAAGTAACGATTGCTGTGATACCTGAATGGAGAACAATAATCTTGTTTTATGGATTTTTCTGAGATTTCAAAAATATTCTTTTTCTGCAATGAAACAGAGATAAGTCTTTCCAGAAATGTTCATGAAATGGAAAAAAAGATTATCAATAGCAGAAGGTTTTGGGATTCGACCCAATTTTGAAGCTAGATTTTTCTTTTTCTAGTCAATATTTTTGGTGCTATATATGCTCACTATCAGTATCCCACAAGAAAAATCCTTGTTTGACTTTTTAATGTTTTCTGCCCTGTGGGCCAAAATAATTCCATGAAGGTTTTGTTTTGATGGAAAATACAATGGTGAAGGTGCTGAAGGTCACTTCTTGCAACCTGCCAAGCCATGAGAAAGGTCTTGCCTGTGGTCTGCTGGTCCTAGTTGCTGCCATTCACTGGAGATCATTTGCATTGTAGCTGAAGGCTGCATTTTAGAAGTGCTCTGATACCCTGCTGCTCAGACAGACAGGTATTGGATCATTGCTGCTGAAAATGGGTGATTTCTGGCAGATAAGGTGAGAGGAGATGATTTATACATTGTTGGAGTTGTGGAGCAGCCTATCCTTCAGCCCTAGCTGAGATGTCATCCCTGGCTAAGCTTTAAACTCCTAACTGAGCACTAAACTTGTTATGGTCTGATGTGGAAATTATTGCAAGCTCCATAATTGCTGTATTTTACTATATTCTAGCCTGCACATATTCAGCAGCATATTTTCAGCAGGGAACCACAATCAGCTGAGAATCATATATGCTAAATATAGATTTTGATCATTCAGCTTGTGAGTGCAGGGGTAAAGATTTAACTGTAAGGCATCTATTTTTTCTGAGTAACTAGATGAAAATACCACCAGTCCACACACCATTCAGAACTTTCTTGTGTCAGCAGCTAGAGGAAGAAGAGTGCCACTGGATGCTAGCCATTAGAACTGTAATTTAACTTCAAGGATTCAACTGTAGAACACACACCTTTTAGCCAGTAATTTGCTAAATCTTGGATCAACCATGGTAGAGGAAATCACTAAACTCTGCTGTTAAATAAAACACATTCCTCATGTACCTACAGCAGATTGATGCTCTGACACAATACAATATAGGTCAGCTTAAGAAGAAATGAACCATGGCAGAAGTTTTACTTTTATTTTGCCAAATCTATCCTTTTCCACAAGTCTTCTTTTGTGAGGGAAAGCTGAGGACACGTTGAGTCTTTTTTCTTATGGGCAAAAGGCAAGATGTGCATCTAGATAAATAAATGAAAACTCAGGTAACAGCACCCCAAGGAGGGCTGAAGGAAGACTTTTACAGATAACTTTAGTTCCTTTTTAATTTTGTGTTATATTGAGCAGCTCATTAGCAATTCTCAAGGAAAATAGTGCAGGCTCTTCTCTAGGTTCAATGGAAGGGCAATAGATGCCAGGGAGAGTTCTCTCACTGCCTGGAGCAGATCCTTTCTCTATTTGCATTTTCAGTGTAATTAACTTTTGGCTTCTTGGTTTCTAATCTAAAAGCAGGGATTGGTTTAATTTCTCTATCCACCTTATTTACTATCCCCAGTGCTGCATGTCAGAACCAGAGGCTGCCAAAATCCCTTTACACGAGCAGAAAAATCACCCCAGGAAAGCAGGGCTGGCAGGAACCTCAGGAGGGTCTCTGGGTCCATCCCTCAACCCTAATGCGGTCTAATAACACAGTTGCTCTTCACAACAGCTTTTTATTTGTCCTGTTCTTAAAGACCTTCAGTGGTGGGGATTCCACAGCCTCTTCCAGTGCCTCAGGACTCCTTTTGGTACACGTTTGACTAATATTAACCTGAGACTGTCTTTCTGAGCACAAGCCCACTGTTTCTTTTTCTACAGATGCTGAGAACCAATTGCTCCCTTCTTCTAGCAGCAGCCTTTAACCATGTCAAGACTTCCACCCCTTTTGAGGTGTGTTCTGGTGCCAGGCCTTGCAGAGCCATCTCAGAAGCTCTGCTCATTGCCCCTGCTCTCCCCAGGCTCTCCCACCTCTGCCTTGTGGTGCAGGGAGCTCCAGCTGAGGCCTTGCCTGCTTGGAGCTAGAGCAGAAGGAGGACTTCAGATGTCTCACATGCTCCACTGTTGCTCACTGATGTTGCTCATGGTGTTTTCACAGCAGC